CAATCTTTTGATTGATTTAGATTTTTTTTACAAACAATATACTAAATTATTCACATTAGCAAATATAAAATAAATATATTTTTAAAATTTTAATATATTTTTAAATATGAAATAATCTTGTAGCAGTAAAATTAAACATTATTAATTTTATAGTTAAGTCAAGTTCTAGATTGAATAAAATTAAAAATATTTTATAGTTGATTGACAACATAAAAAAAAATTATGAATTTGATCTTACATTTAATTTTTTTTTATTATTTATATATTTAGCCTTTTAAATTATGCATGTTATATAACAGGGGTCCAATATTAATGACTTCATTAAAACCCTAAGTTGTTTTATAGTAGAAAAAAGGCCTACATAAAATTAATTAATCACATTAATAAATAATTATCTTCTTATTTAATTTTTACTTATATAATCTAGATTTAAAATGTAAAATATTTATGTTACCATAAAAATAGATTACATACATAAAATGTAGATTACATACTTTAAAATAAAAGATTAGTTAAAGTATACTAATCTAAGGGCATATTGGTAAAGAGACATGCATATTTTTAGACATATATATAAATAAATCTTCTTTGTAACTAAAATTTCTATATAAATAGATTTATACTGTGTATGTGTATGTATTCATGTATGTATGTATGTATATATGTACACATTGGGTGAAGATACTTGCATACTTTGAAGTGCACAGAAATTATGTACTGCCTGCCTATATATATATATTTAAGTACATAAAAGTTAAAAAGTTAAAAAGAGGGTATGGACCCCACATTTAATTTTTAATTAATTTCTAAAGAAACCGTGGGACATACCTTTTTGAGTTGAGTCATGCCAAACATGAGTTAACTCTTTTATTGACGTTACCATTTTCTAAGACTATTTATTTATTCATATTTGGATTTATCTTAATCCGCATTTAATGAACACCTAATACAATTTGTATAAACTTATAAATTTTTTAGATTCTTAATCTTATATAATTTTAAAATGCAATCTAAATAAATTAAAATTATAGCCAACACAATTCAAACACAACAACTATATATTATTATATATAAAGATTAAGTTAGTAATGAAGTTTATGATAAAGATAAAAATTTATAAATTAATTAAAATAAATTTTAAAAATTAAGATATGTTTTCACAAATTTATTGAACTTAAAATATTATCTCAAGCTTAAAAAATATTAGATTACCATACAATGTATAAACATTATTCATTAAGTAATATATGTTAAAAAAAGTTTTTTAATTTTAAAAATAAGAAATAAATTTTATTTAAAAAATTATTAATTATATAAAAAATAATTGTAATTTTTTTAAAAATTAATTTTGTGACACAATATTTTTCTAACTGATTATAGAAAATAAAATTGAAGACTGATTAATAAAGGGAAATTGTGCATTTAATTTAATTTTATATATTCTATAAAATATAATTTTTATTAATTTTAGATTTAGATATAAAATAAAAATAAATGAAGATTTGAATTTGAAAATTTTTAATAATAATAATAATAAGAGACCAAAACGGTTGCTAACCAACTCAGAACAGTGGAGCTTGAACTGGGGGCACAGTCAGCAGAACTGTCTAGTGGTAAATACACAACGTAGGCGAGGGTAAAATGGTCAATAAACATACAACACTAGTTTCATAACTGCAATTCTTCTCTCCTCTTTAAACCACAAGCACAGAACGCCCCCTCTCTCTCTCTATTCTCTCTTCGTCAAATCCTCTTCAACCTCTCCTCAATTTCAATGGCTTCTTCTTCCTCCTCTTCTTCTTCTTCTTCTTCTTCTTTTTCTTCTTCTCTATCCACAGTTCTTCTCTTCCTTCTCTCCTTAGTCTTCGCTTTTCATTTCCGGTGAATTTCTAAATCTCCGATTGTCTTTTCAGATACTCGTTCCTCACTCTCTCTTTCTCTCTCTAGGATTCTCAGGGTTTTTCCGCCATTTGCAACTTTGGATTGATCGAAAAACAAAATTCTTTGTTTCTTCCAATGGTGTTCAATTCGAGCAAAAGAAACGAAAGACGTCGGAGACCAACTCCGCCACCACCATCACCACCTCCAACACCATCACCACCACCATCACCACCACCATCCTCATTAGTATCACGACAGCCGAGAACAAACACCAGAGCTAACAACAACGCAAGAGCAATGGCTACTTCTTCCAATGTCAAATCGCCCCTTCACAACTTCTCCTTGTCTGACCTCAAATGGGGCAGTAACCAAACCAAGCACAAGCGCCTTCGCAAGCTAGGCGACAAACTGACAATACGCGAGGCCCATTCCTCATCCGCTAATCGGACAGAGAATCCGGTGCGAGCAGCCCCCGAAATCCGGAAGCCGGAGAAGAACAAAGTGATCGATGCGGGCCCCCCTCGCAAGGTGGACCTATCGGAGAAGAATCCTCTGTG